TATATATATATATATATATATATATATATGTATATTTTAATAGAACCAAGTAATATAAAGTGACATACCAAGGGAGAATATATTTACAAACAGTAAAAATAAGCTACTGTGTATCATGGGTGAAAATGATTATGATGCCTTTAAAGACATTCTGTAAGAGGTAGGTGACAAGTGGGAGACTGTATGTTATCTTCAAATGTCCCCTGATTCTACATTCATCTGTGTTTCTTTTCATTCTTGTAGGTCCAGGGGATGTTCAATAACTCCCAAGTTTTTCTTTATTCCAAGGTCACCATTGTCATGTGAAGCAGTGCACATCTTTTGGTCGCAGAGAGCAGATTCTGCCCATAATTCGACTCTTGTTGACAATGACACCTATGCACGACTGTCTGTACGTTAGGTAGACCTTTTGTTCACCGTGACTGTATCAGTGATGAATCTTCCAGTTATCTTTGTGCAGAAGACCATAACCACAGGCTAACACTTCTTTAGCAAACATTGCTTAAACGCAGAAGGCCTCTGAGAGAGAAGACATCCTTTCGCTAACTTCCGGTTTCCGTCCTGGCACTGCACGGTCCTGGTGTGCCAGCCCATGTCACAGGTCCTGGAACAGGCCAGCCATGGGCCTGTCACCCACTGCAGCTGTGAAGTGTGGGATCCCACTTTGTTGCTGCCATGGCTGGTGACAGAGTTTGCTTTCTGAGTGGACTTCTTGGGAACAAAAAAACTGTAACGAACATCTAATGCTTTAGTTGGGTCTGTTGCAAGAATCTGCACTATCAGAATTTCCTTTGTGGCTGAGTAGCCCATCCCGTGCAGAAAGTCATCCCTGTGGCTCCAGCCACTGTAGTTCATGACGGTTCCGTTGATGTCAATGATAGTCTCTGATGTGGAGATCATGTACTTTCCATTGATAAGGTACTCACCGTTTTTCCTTTTCAGGGCTAAGTAGGCAGTGAATCTAGTCTGGTCTTTGGCTTTGAACTGTCGAACTTTTATGTGGGTTGCCCCTTCGGGGATCCTCACAACGTCAGTGTAACCCTTGCTGGAGACAGGAATATCCACAGGGGAGAGAGGAAGAGAGAGAAAGTGGGGGAGAGTGCGGGACAAAGAGAGAAAATAAGTAAGTACTTAAATGGATAAACAAATAGAAATTCTTCAAACGTTTTTCCTTATCTTAACACGAAGTTTTAACATATTTAAAAGATTAGTTTGAAATTGGCTTTAAAAATTAATTTTCTTATGACAAAATAAAATTGCAGTTAGACTATCATATTATATACATTTTTATTGAGATGCTTAAAATTAGGATAATGCTTATAACCTACCTTTACTTTAAAAATTTATTCTAACTCTAATTAAAGATTTATATGACTGTCACCATCTGCTATGGCTTAAATAGCCACTCCAAAAACTCTTGCTGAAATTTAATTGCCATTGTGATGGTATCGAGAGGCTGATCTGTTAAGAGGTGATTAGGTCATGTGGGTTCTTCCCTCATGAATGGATTAATGTCATTATCATGGGAGTGGGTTAATGGTAAGACTGGGTTTGCAAGTGAGTATGTGGCCCGCTCTTGTTCCCTCACCCTCTCTCTTTGCTCTTCTGCTATGGAATGACTCAGCAAGAAGGCCCTCACCAAGACGCCTCTCCATGATCTTGGACTTTCCAGCCTCCAGAATGGTGAGCCAAATAAATTTCTTTTCTTTATAAATTACTTAGTCTGTGGTATTTTGTTCAGGCAGCAGAAGACAGAGAAAGACGCCATCCTTAACAAATCCTATCATCTTTACAAAGCTACTTTCTGTTCTTTCTGGCACAAAATGGAATATATGTAAACACAAACTGACAAAAGTCTGCTCTCAATTAATCTCACAGAAATCTTTAATATCTCTCAAACTTGTCTGAACATCAGAATCCCTGGAGATCTTTTAAAAATTCCAAAGCCTATGTTACACCCCAAAACAATTAAATCCCCATCTTTCAGGGTGGGGCATAGGCAGCAGTACTTTTGAAGCTCCTCACATTGTTGTAATGTGCAGACTAGTTTGGGAACATGGGTTTAATTATTTGCTGGACTTGTGACAGAGTAGAGGCTCTGCTTCTATCTCTACTAGAACTCTGGATTTCAAGGGGTAGGACATGAAATGGAACATAAAATTTGGTATCTGGATAATTGCTGTAGATTGGATGCCCCCTCCCCCCCCAAGTTACTGAAGCTTAATCCTCACTGTACCTGTTGAGGGTGGGAAATCCTATTATGGAAATTGAAAGGTGGGGCCTTGAATAGGTGATTGGATTGTAAGACCATGCCATAGTGAATGGATTAAAAATGGTGGTCATGGGTCTGGATGTGAGGGCTTTAAAAGGACAGTGCACGAGGAACTGTGTCCCTCTTGCTCTCTCTACTACACCATTTCGCAGTGTGGATACCCTGCCATTACTGTTGCCACCACCAAGACCCTTACCAGATGTGTTCCCTGGATTTGGACCTCTCAGCCTCAGAAACTGTAAGCAATAATTTTTGTTTTCTCTATAAAACACCAAGTTCTGCGTATTTTGTTATAAGCAACAGAAATGGACAAATACAGAAATGATACTACTATCATAAAAATTAAAAAAATGCATTTTTAATGTTTTAGCACATTTTCTTGAATGCTTAGTGCCCATGAGACATTATGATAGGTTGAATAAGGCTTTATTGTAGGTGACTAATAAGATAAATCTCTAAAGATCCATCATGTGCTCAGGAGAATGGGCAAAGGCATAAATATCTCTAATATCCATAAGCCTATGGCAAACAGTAGGACAGAAATGCTAATTCACCAAGAAACTATACCAGTGACAAGTCATCTTTTGCCAAAATCTTTGCCTTTATAAGTAATTTCATAATAAAGTACCCATATGTTTTACTTTCCTAGTTATTTAAATAGAAGCACTATTGCTTGTGTAGTTTGATTAATGTGTATGAAAGTGAATTGTCTGATTTCTAACTCTTACTCAAGGTTAAAGATTATAGGGCAACTGATTCATACACTAAAATATGGATACTAACCAGCTTCCTTGACTACCACAGGTAAATGAAGTTGTTTTCTTATGACTATTTTCAAGTATGGCTGACAGGGAAAGGGAGTCTTGTTTTGTTCAGGGCTGTCTGCACAGTACCAAGAAGAGACCCTGTCATGAAGAAATATATTCATTCATAAATATTAGGCATGCTGACATGGAAGGGACATTTGAGTGGGGGCAGTCAGGCACCCACCACTCCCCACAAACAAAATATGTAATATCAATTGGTAAGAGCTATGAAGAAACAAAGCAGGGTAATAAGATAGAGATAATGTGAGGTTGGGGGAAAGGGCCTCTTATTCATTTAGGATAGCCACCATATGGGGAGGTGACATTTGACAGAGACCTAAAAAAATTCTGAAGGGAGCACTGCTTAATTGGGGAAAAGTATTCCAGGCAGAAGAAACTGCACACACTTGCCTGTTGCCACGTTTGAGGAGTGTTAGTGAGTTCAGTGTGGTTGGAGCTGAGAAAGAGGAGGGGACTGTGTTGAAGAGACACAGAGCAGAATGGGGGCCTCATAGGTTACAAAATAGTGTTGGACATTGACTCTACGTAGGATGGAAACCCCTGGAGTGTGTTGAGCCCAGAAATGCCATGCTCTGACTTAGGTAAAAAAGTTTTGGCTCTCCATCACTGCTGTGATGGTCCAGGCAAGACTGATGATCACTTGGGTTGGACTGGTACTGGTAGTGATGGTGGCGAGGTACCAGGTTCTGATATATGATGCAAACAGAACTGATGTGATCTGCTGATGGATAAATGTAGGGCATGAGGGAAAATGAAAAGTGAAAGATGACTCCAAAGTTTTGGGCTTAAGCAGGAGGAGGATTGAGTTGCCATTTACTGAGATGGGGAAAATTGAGGGAGGAGTGAGTTAAGGTCAGTGTCACATTTGTGAATAGGCTTAAACTGGATAAGATATTTTAATATGCATAATCTTATTTAATCCTCAGAACAGTTTTCACTGCAAGATAATTACTATTATTTCCGTACTACTTTTGAGAAATCTTGTGGTAAAGAAATTAGCTGACACTTCAAAGATCACATGGCTTGTAAATTATTGAGCCAGAGCTTGATTGCAAATATCCAGCACCAAGATCAACAATTTTCTTTTATAAATCACACGAGGCCAAGGCAATTTATTTGGGATACTTGAACAGGTCATTTGAATCCTCTAATTGGTCAAACCAATTTACAAGTGGTTTAGATTGAACACCACTTACTGCTATCACAAGTTTCTTTATCTTTTTACATGATATCAAATGTACAGATAATAGTTGTCCATACAAGAACTTTAAAATGTGTAATTTAGCATTTGAAAAGTGGTTTATAACTTTATGTAGAAAGAATACATAGCATATAGTATATAGGGTATTATTTTTTAAAATAATTGAATTTCTTTTTTTTTTCTCTCTCCCTTCTTTTTTCGTTTTTTCTTTTTTTTTTTTTTTTTTGGTACAAAAGGGCCTGTGCATCCTGTGACTTAAGTTATAGCCTCTGCTCTATTCTAGCATTCATCAAACATGTAGAATTGGGTAAGTTCTAAACTTTCAGAGTCCCAGTTAGGTCATTTGGAAAACAAAAGGTTGGACTGTTCGTCTCTAAGGCATCTTGCATCTTTGAAATGTGTAAAAATGCAGGATGTAATTGGACATGCAGAATTTTTGACACAGATGGCCCAACACAATTAGGTGAACAATTATTATTTCATTAGTAAGTAGTATTAGTAATGCATATTTTAACTCAGAATAAATTCCTCAGTCATACATTTTTAAATCATATCAGATGTACTTTCCAGTTTTTTATGTGATACTTAATATTTTAAATAAATCTTTATTGTTAATTTGGTTTTCATATTACTCTCAAGTTAAAGATAACAGCCCCTACATCAGGAATGTAGGTACCCTCAACCAATACCACTCCACATAAGAGTGGTTTGTGAAGAGGACAAACAATCCTGTATTCCTTCAAACTCTTTAGCCAACTCAGCTATTCTATCTGCTAGTATAATATTTTATGCCAGAAGTTGCTACTTCATAAACTTACTTTTTTTTTTTTTTTTTTTTTTGGGTAACTGGTAAGGGGATCGCAACCCTTGGCTTGGTGTTGCCCACACCACGCTCAGCCAGTGAGTGCACCAGCCATCCCTATATAGGATCTGAACCCGCAGCCTGGGCGCCCCCAGCGCTGCACTCTCCTGAGTGAACCGCGGGGTCAGCCCATAAACTTACATATTTAAAACAAAAGTGTAATCTAGCACCATGAGAGGAAGCAGGAGACAGACACTGCTGTATACATTTCTTTATAGAGTAGATATAAGCCAGGGCAATTCACTATAAAAGGGATTTGTTGCCGACAACCCTGCAACTAACTTACCTTTTTCAAGGAGATGTGGTTTCTTAGAAAAACACAGCCTAATGAGAATTTGTATTGTTAAAAAAAAATAGTTATGATAGAAACCAGCCATCCTTTCATAAATTATGTCTCAGGAATAATAGATCTGCAAGATATCACTAAGGTGGAATGTCACCCATTTTTTTCTTTTCAGTTTTCTGACTCTGCAGGACCTTGACCCCCATGGTCATCACAGTTTATCTGCTTCCAGAGGTGCCGTGAGTTTCCACTTAGCACCCAGAGCTTGATTCATCTCCTCTCCTTGTGTTCTCATATTTAGAACGTGTTACCAGGGCCATGTCAGACCTTCTCCTACAGGTAGCTTATGCTGGAAGGTGAGTTCCTCAGTTTCTCAGGAGTCTACAGCTTTGTTCAATCCATGCAAGGACAAGGGTTCTATCACATTACCTTTTTTTATTGAAGGTTCCAATAATCTTTGTACAACTGGAGTTGTCTCCTCCGCACACTCCACACTTGTCATACTGCAGCTTGGAACCAATGATGCCATCGCAGCCAGTTCGTACACACTTCCCCCGGACGCAGACAGAATTACTGTATGGCCTGCATTCAGTCCCATCAGTCACCTGTGTCATGACAAGCACATCAGTAGTGGGAAATACTGGTGCATAGGTATCTGGTTCTTTTAGTAAACTACCAAATTCTAATTTGTGATCTTTGTGTTGAATTGAAATAGACAGTACATTGAAAAATGAACAAGCAACCCACCCCTCTAAGAAAAAAAAAAAGAAAAAAAAAACCCCACCACCAACAACACAGTTTCCAGGAACATCTGACTGAAAAATCCTTGATATACTGGCAGAAGGAAGGTCTGGGAGAAATCTAGGTTATGCACTCTCTACATTGAGCTTAATTCTGAATGTGTTAGGAGAACTAAGGTACTCATCTCTGTTTGTGTATACTTAGCACATTCCTTTTTCTAATCTTTGCTTTTTACATTGATAGAAATGACCTGTTCACTCAGCGTTTGGGGCTATTGCATGTGTAAAGAGCTGAATGTGAGCAGCCTTGAAAATGTAAAGATCCTTTTTTGTTGCATAATTGTTGTTATAGTCACACATTTGAAAATCTCAACTTGACATTGAAAACCATGTCATGGTTGGAGAGCATTTCCTGTTATGTGTTGAATTATCAGACACTGAAATAGAAACAGACAAAAAGATTAGTGTAGGAAAAGGAGTCTGGGGAAGTCAGGAGAAAGTACTTACTGGAAGAGACTAAATATATTTTGAATAATAGAACTAGCATATAGTTAAAAAGCTAGTTATAAAATAGTATGTACATGAACAGTTTGTGGCTCATGCATGTCAGTATATATAAATACTTGTAACATGTATGAATATATATATATACTCATATATAAAAATAAACATACATATTCTGTATTTGTGTATACACTAAACTCTCTTTTCATATATGTATGAGTATGTGAGTGAATGTATGTGAGTGTAAACTGAACTAGGATATACTCCAACAGTTTAATAGCTCTCTAGATGGTAGTATTTCCAGGTGATGTGTTTCTTTTTATTTCTCTGTAAAACTTTTACAATAAAAATGTATTATTTTGTAATCAAAAGATATATTTTAAAAATTATATAAGTTGAACATTAGCTTATTTTTCAATAACATATTATAAATATCCAAAGGCCAGTTTCAGAGGTGGTTTTAAATATATTATCTATTTGCAAATTAGATAAAGAGTATTTGTAAATTGCTGCATAACACTGACTATAAGAAATAAGACTGCAGTATATTTAGAAAATGCTCATCTGTGAAAAGTAAGGTATAACACACACATTCATGTTATTTATTACTAGAGGGACAGAGATTCATACCAGGGGTTGTGCAAGACTTATTTAAAAGTCTGGGTCAGAGATCCTGAAACCTATCTTCATGACTCATCAGAGGAATTCTTAAATAAATGATAGAAAAATAGAAAGTTTTCCTGCTTTATAGTCCTTTTGACAAATGTGGTTAGGAAATACTAGTTGTTTTCATGATTATTTTGAAGTTAAGGTCACACTTCGCCCTCCTTGACAGTGAGTTACACTTCTCAAAAATAGCGTTTAAAAAAATTACTTGTTCTGTTTATAGAATAATTTTCATTCATTGTATAAAGTTTGAAAATATAGAAATTATAGAGGTGAAAATAAAAACCCTTCCAAATCTAACCACCCTGCAAAGTAATGACTGTTTATATTTGGCATCTACAGGCTTCATTCTACCCAATAATTTCCACCAAGGATGCCTCCTCTTTCTGGGCAGCCTGTGTGCAGTTACCTTTGGAGAAAACACCACATAGTAGCCGGTGCCCTTGGCTCTGCACGTCAGTTTGCACACGTCCCCTGGCAGGACACCTGCGTATTTGGGAACCCACTCCACGAAGGTTTTGACTCCTTTAGCATCAGACTGATAGCCATTTTTGGCCTCGCACTGCTCATGACGAAAAGATTTACCTAGGCAACAAACATGTTAAATTATTACTTTATCTGTTCTGCAACTTAGATATGTTCTTGTGCATTTAAATAAATGAATTAAAAAAAAGATGCTGTTTTGTCTTGCAGATTCTCTTTACACACCAGTGTTAATGAATTTTATCTATTCATAGAGTTATCTATTCATAGCTATTATTTTCTTCCAATGCCCTGAATACACTAACTATAATTCATAATAATAATTTAAAAATCACTCATGTTATTTGTTATAGATTTGCACATTGGTGGAACTGTGTGCAGTACTAGATTAATGCCATTTCTCCAGCCTCCCCTATTTATTACTGCTAGAATAGAAGCTACACATGGCACTTGGTGGTGGCTGACACTTGGGAGCAGCGTACCATTGGGGGGGCAGGGCGTGACACTGCAGGAACGGTAGATGGCTCTCTTCCCTGTGCAGTAGCGGCCATTGTTTCTGGGGGCAGGGTTATTGCAGTGGCGATAGGCAAACTGTACTCCTCCCCCACATGAGCGAGAACACTGGCCCCAGGACCCCCAGGACCCCCAGTTGCCATGGCTTGATGTCTGAAACAGAAAATAGAAGATATTTTAACTCAGATAGGAAAAAGACATTCCAAATGTACATTTGGAAATCACGTACATTTAATGACACAATGGAAACTTCATCACAAGTACAGTTAAATTCCCAATGAATTTAACATGGTCATGGAATTGCAACACATTTCCAATTCTAAGCAATTCATTTTTTCAGGCCCTCCCAGCACTAGAAGATCTCAAAACACCACTCTAAGTACTGAGCACACTGCAAAGATTACCTCCTTTTTCTGGGCCATTTAAAATTATACCTTCTGATACTACACATATCTGTTAAAAACCACTGACTCATGTTAACTTTTTGTCCTCTCTGATCCTGGATCTTTAAGGAAATGTATAGTGCTGAAAGTTTTGCATCATGCCAGGCATGATTTGATTGTGTTTGCATCTCTTTCTCCCTGTTTAGCACTAAGATTCCACTGTTTCTTTGTCAACATCACACATCTTGTCTGTGATAGACTTTCTGCTACGTTAAGTAAATGTATTTGATCTGAATTTGGCTTAATTCCTAATTAGATGCAAAAGAGACTGAAGTGCACCCACGTCATACGTGTACGCAAACTCCACAGGGAATGAAGAACCCTTTTATGACACCCTAGTTTTATTCCTCTGGAAATATCACAGGAGAAAACTAGAAGGCTCCAAAAGGAAGAGTATTATAAACTGCTTTGCTGAGGGAATGTGTGAAGAGCTGCCTCTGGTTGCCCTTGTCATGGTATCTGTAATGCAATGTTGGGTGACAGCCTGGAAAGACACAAGCAGTGAGCATACAGCAACATAGCAACACTCTTCTAGAGACTACGCAAATCTTGTGACAGTGAAACACATACTTTGCTCAGGCTTTGAAAATTAAGGGGGCAATTGCCGACATGAAGTTGGACCATGTATATGGCAGCAGATGTGTTTCCCTGGAGCAGCTATGGTGACTTTAGCACCTAAAATCAGAATAACTTGCTTTCAGGGGGAAAAAAATGACCATTTCGGAGCTCACCAAATATGTACAAGGACTAAAAGTGTCAGCTCTGCTAATATTTCCTTACTGAATTTAAGTAAATCTATTCTGATAATTTTAGCAAGGGAAGCTTGAAAGTGAGTTTCCAAAAAGTGATTTGCAGCATCCTACTTGGGGTCTCAACTAGACAGAATCTGGGTTCTGTGTTTATTTGTTAGAGCTTCTAACCTGTGAAGAAATCCCTATTATCTGGATTTTCTCCATATTTGATTACTGAGTGCTATGGATTGAATGTCCCCCTAAAACTCACTGAAGCTTGATCCCCATTGTAACAGTGTTAAGAGGGTGGGAAATTCAATAATGGTATTTGAAAGGTGGGACCTTTATGAGGTGAGGATTGTGCCCTCATGAATGAATTGATCTGTTCATAGAGTAAAGGGCATGGTTCTGATGGCTTTATAAGGAGGATAAGTGAGGAGGTTACTCTCTTGGTCAGTCCATTCTTTCCATGTGATAACTCACATTGCTAATAGAGAGTCACCCCACCAAGGAGAAGGCCCTCACCAGATCAGATCTGTCCCCTAGGCTCTGGACTTCCCAGCCTCCAAAACTGTAAGAAATAAATTTCATTTCTTTATAAATTACCTAGTGTAAGGTATTCTGTTGTGAAAACCAGAAACGAACTAATACACTGAATATGGCTGCTGTGGGTGGCCGTAAATAGATCTCTAAAGGAAAAATATTTTAACTAGGAGATAAAGGCTTCTGATGACAGTGTCCACACACGTCACAGGAATGCCCTTCACATCTTGGGTCTCCAGGTGTTGGGTAATGAAAATAATCACTTACCGAATAATACTTTTTCTTGGTTTTGTCCACACACTTGCCCTGCAGGCAGATCCTCCCCTTCCCACAAGGTGTCCCTTCCACAGCAGGAAGCTTCTTGGTCAGACACACCATCTGGCCTTGGCGCACCACGGCACACCACAGGCGAGCACAGACGTCCATGCCAGGACACACAGAGTACTCGGGTCCGAAAGTCAGGTTGCACTGTTGAGTGGCATCGTAGGTCTGTCCTGGGAGTTCTTCAGGGCCCAGGATCTGCTTTCGTGGTAGGTCCAGCAAACAGTTGCCTACAAGAACAAATGAGATTGACCACTGTTCTGTGTTTAGGTTTTAAACCACTAAGATTGTAGATCTAAAAATGAAACACGCCAGCTGGTATGGAAACATGATGCATCCACAAAGCTGCAGTGGGATGCCCTGGAGAAAGGACTCTGCAAAGGACAAGGCTGGGCACCACCTTAGACTCAGCAACACCCTCCAGGATTTTCAGTGGGTGATGTGCTCTGGAGTTTCTATAACAATGGAGGTATTGCTGGCAGTGGTATGATTAGATTGTTTTGTAATTACTTGAGAGAATAGCTGTTGTGCTGAGGCACCAAAAGAAATTAGGATGCACACAGAGGAAACCAGTTAGGAGACTTAATAATAACAATAATAATGAGAAAGCATTTACTCTACAGCTCTGAGAAACAGAGTTTGTCACTGGCAGTCCATCTGTACCTCATTCTCCATTTCCAACTTACCTCTTCCTCATGCGCCTATCGCATATCACCTTGACACTAATTCCATAAGTAAAAACCAAGATGATACCTCATTCATTCTTGCACTCACTCAGCAAGCATTTGCACAGCACCTATGATATTCTAGAAAACATACTAGGTATTGGGAATATAGAAAAATGAACCAGATCTACCTGTCAAAGTCTTCCAATAAAGTGAAGGAGGTAGAGTAAATAAAATATTTCTCCCAGAAATGATTAAAATTTTAGTTAAAAGATCTGAAGATTCAGAGAACAAAGGAGTGGTGGGAGAAGAAAAGAAACAATCTTTGATAATTTAGGACTAGACCACTCTTTATATTCTTTTCTTTTTTCTTCCCTTTGTGTCTGTTATTTAATGAAATTCGTATTTTGGGTATTTGGAGTGAGTGTGCTCAAACCAAGCTGGTGTCACATTGCACAGGCAAACAGGAGTGAGATAGGAATCGAGGGACCCTGGCATGTGGACAGTGCAAACTCAGAAGCTGAAATGTGCCTCCTCTCCCCCCAAAAGATTCCCCAGAATCCCTGTCCAGTGATCAAACATCATTAATTTTCTCTTGTCATATATGCATACATGCATATTGCCCATCAGTTTCTGTGTTTATTTGTTTATGTAATTTTAGGACTTATACTGACTATAGCAGCAATAAAAATAATAACAAATATTTGTTACACACTTAACACTATGCTCAGTTCTTTGCATGTATTAGCATATTTAATTCTCACACGAACCCTATGAGGCAGATTCATTTATTTTATTTATTTTGCAGATAAAGAAACTGAGGAATATAAAAGATAGCTCACTTACCCAAGGTCACGTAGCTATTAAGGTTTTGTGTTCAGTGCCTGATCTCTTCATCACAAGCCAGACTGCCTCTGTTTAGCATGTGGATGGCTGTTTGTATTATCACTGAAGGGCAGACATGTGTAAGGATCCCTTTAACAGTGGATATTGTGCCTAATGGTAGAAACAACTGGTCTAAAGTCTAATCCTGGTGTAACACTAAATGGCCGAGTACTCTCGGCCACGTTAGTTAGTTAACCTCTCCCTAATTTATTTTCTAAATCTGTGATACATTTTCCTTCTCACCATGTCACTGTAAAAGTCAAATTAGCTAACAGAAATATGAAAGGTGACCAGAAAAATAAGAAACAATAATAATTGGTTCTATGCCCAACGTATTTAACAACAATTTACATGTATTAGAGTTATTCTTCTATTCAACAGAAAAATCATGTTCAGATCCTTACTTTCCACTGAGAAATAAAATATTCAGCATATTTCAAGTATAATACAAATGTTTGTACAACCACATTAACTTTTCTTCAAAGCAATACTTTAGAATTTGTCAATCTGCGATGGAGGCATTATATGAAAATGAATAAAGAGCAAAGTTCCTATTTTATTTCTGAGCCAGAACGTTTGAAGAGGTAAAGCTTCTGAAGGCAAGCCAGAAAAAGCATTAAAAACAAGTATTCAGCCAAAGAGAACTTTGGAGGAAAAACATCAAGTTAAAAGAAACACATCAACATCAAGTCAATAGGAGAGAATGATGTAAAGTCTCACGGTCCTTTGTTTACAAGACACACTAAGATTGGGCACTTCAGAACTCCATGGAAAACGTTATCTTCATTGCAAGATACATAAAGGAGTGCTGTGTAAACCAGGGACTGCTCACCAGATTGCTGATGTTAGAGGACTATCAACAAATCTCTGAGTCAGCACGAATGCTTTCCAAATCTTCAAAAGTGCTGTTTTAAGAAACTTTTTTATTTTACTAAAAAGCAAAGACTGTAAGACTGAGTAACTAAATATTAGCTAGGAAGTGCACATGGCATGGGTTTACCTCATTTATCTACAGCCAAAATAATGCACCTGACTGTGGATATGCAGAAACCCACTCTCCCTCACTAGTAGATGATGAGTGAAAAGAAATGCATAACGCAAACAGTTTGAAGTCAGCTTATAGCGAGGAGACTTTGAGATGTGACATCTCTTCACAGAGTTTCATCCGGCAGTATAATTTTTAAAAATGAGTAACGTATTTGCTTTGCTACTAAACATAAGGTACATCAGCATTATATTTTCCCGTTAGAGGCCATGAATGTGAAAATGACCTTTTCATGCTTAAAATAAAATGATTTATTTCAGAATTGCCATTAATTTATTACTCCAATATTGTCAGTATTAGGATTTGTTGCTGCATCAGTGTGTGTTTACCCTGTGATAGTTTGTCGATTTCATTTTTTTTATGTTGAATTATGTCCTTCTGCACTGAAAAAGGTACAGATATCTCTGCCAGATGGCGAAGTCTACCAAATGCCAGGGAACAACAACAAAAATTAACATAAAATCTGATTTTGAATCGCACGGTATAAACAATTTTAAATCTAAGTAATAGTGGATTGATATATATTTTCCATTTTAAAAGATGTATACAGTTTGGGGTGGGGTGAAAAAGGAAACCAATCAATCTTTCAGTATCATTTATATTGACCTCTAAGGGCATCCAAACTACACCCTAACGTTTTCTTAATCTGTTTTTCTTTTAGTCTCAGCCACTTCTTCACATCTACTTCACATACTCAGCAACAACATAAGACAGCCATCTCCACGCTAAACAGAGGCAGGCTGGCTTGTGATGCAGAGATCAGGCACTGAACACAAACCTTAATAGCTACGTGACCTTGGGTAAGTTAACTACCTTTTATATTCCTCAGTTTCCTTATCTACAAAATAAAATAAATGAATCTGCCGCACAGAGTCTGATATTCTGCCTGGGCTTCGCTGCCAACATTTTGTCTGTTTGTCCTTTTCCCCACATTGCCAAGTTGCTTCTTTCCTCCCTCCTCCCTCTTTTCCTTCCTTCTTTCCTTGCTTTTGTTTTAACATTTTGTGTATACAGATGGATAGCTTATGAAAGAAATCAGGACCAATGTGTATATATTGCACATAGGTCTTTATCGCCCATGTTAAGTTAGATGCTCCAAATAAGGCAAAAAAATTAAAAAATAAAATGCAGTGATGTGAGATGAACAGATAAAAAAAAGCAGGAAGCCTCTCAATTGCCATACAAGCCCACTAATGGGTGATGGAAGATGTGCTATGCGTTCAGAAAATGGGACAGAAAAGTTTCTGGTTTTATACAGATGTATAAAACCAGACTTCTAGCACTATTTGTCTTTGATATTAATGATTAGTGGAAATTAGATTAATGTGTTTTTTATTTTTATATTAATTTTAAAATATTATTTATATATTAATTTTTGTTGTTGTGTTCCCTGGCATTTGGTAGAGTCTGCCATCTGGTAGAGATATCTGTACCCTTTTTTATTGCAAAAGGACATAATTCAACATAAAATATGAAATCGACAAACTATATTTCAGGGTAAACAGAAATTGATGTAGCAACAAATTCTAATACTGAGAATGTTATTGTTCTTTATACTTTTATTTTTCCTCCCTATTTCTAGCACTGTCGGTGTTTCAGCCTTCTCTTCCTTTTCAATACTCAGGCCTGAAATTAATCGTTGGGCCGAATATCCGTGGCCTAGGAAAAATCAATTAATATTCCTAATGAAGCATCCAAAGGAGCCTGTCAGTCCTGCCTTCTCTCCCCTTCTGCTTTCTATCCTCATCTCCTGACCTTGCACCTCTTCTTTTAGGTCTTTACTTGAATGTCTGACATTAAAAGAGAAACTGATGCACTTGTTTGCTCTCTGATGAGTCATTTTGGGCCTAGTGACAGATAAACAAACAAGAGCATTGACAAAGAAACAGACAATTGTTGACCAAAAGGAATTCAAGGGGGTCTGTTTGTGAAGCTGTTAGAGGCATTAGGTGCACTAATGTAATGGCAAAAAAATTGGATTAAAAGTTCTCTGTGATAAAGGATAAAGCAAAGCTTTTTAAAAATATAGGCCACCATGGCCTTAAAACATGTTTTATTTTCACACTCTTTTAAAGACCATACAAGTATTTATTCTGAAAATCAAGATACAACCATAATAGGCTATGGATTTTATTAATACTACCTTAAAAACTGGATGTGAAACTCTTATGGCTGGCTTTACAGATTACACTTAACTAAAGATAGAGAGAACTGGTTTTCCAACACCATTTTATGTCCAAAGTTCTGTGTTAAGTGGCTATAAACTTATCTCTTTACATATGCTATATGTTAATTTTTCAAAATGGTCTGTAGATTTCCCTTAGCAACCTGCATCATGGATGTTCCTGAGCTGTATCTACTTAGGTGGTGGGCTTCCTCATGACCTGGCACCGTGGACTTAGGGATACAGCAGACACAGCTATCTTTTTTGGCCTCAAGGTTATTGAGCATTTGAGAAAGGAAATTCAATAACCTGCTTTCACTGCACAACTTCTCTGCCAGTGCTTACCTTTATTTTCGAGGATCATACTCCCAGCCGGGCCTGCCTAGAGCTAACTTCTATAAACACTGCAGAATGTCTATAAAGTATCTTGGTCGGGGGCTGGGGGGGAGGGAATCCCAGAGACATGGCTTCTCCTTTTCTGAATCACAAATCTGCAGACACAGTTACATTAGAGTGTGCACACCAAGTTTTCAACCATAACCAAATTGCTGCATATTTCTTGTTGGAACTAAATCAGGAAACACTCAGTACTAATGAATTTAAATTTGGCAGTGGGCGAGTGCTAAAAATGTCCAGCTACTTATGGCTAATAATTTAAAAAATAAGTCAAATGCTTTGAAATGAATTTTACTCTACGACCTCATTTCTCCAGCATTGCTGGAGGTGGGAGGGGGAGGGATAAGACATTATACATAAATGGAATTTCCAGATAAGGTACCATTGAAAAATTGTATAAATTTTGTGAGAATATCTGCTTAAAAATAGCAATCACTTTGCAGCCCTTATATTAGTGTCACAATTTAACCTTCTTAAATAACTGAAAATATTTTTTTCTGTCTATTGATTATTGCATCATGGTGAAATACAGAGGTAGGTACCTTTAGGAATCATGTGTTGTAATAGGATTTTTGACCTTTTGGAAAATGATACCAGACAACTATGCCAGTTATGTTTTAGGAATGCATTTTACAGCTTTTCTGGCTTCTCTCTTATTGTATCACTTCTCGCTGTCAGTTTACCTGTCTGAAGTCAGCTCCCTACACACCCCCCACGACTTTATTTTATTGCATAAAATTGTGACTGCTGGAGAAAATTAGAACAGAGGAAACAGAAGAACTATAAAACTTGAATCAATGGGTTCTGAGTGGAAGCCTGAGTAGCTCCCTATGAGTAAAGTGGAAAGGCTTTATGATATGGTTTTGTGATATCAGTTTAGTCTTCTACCAAAGATGGCATTTATTTGTTTTCCTATCATCTTGGGCTTTGACTTTTTTCTTGGTTCTCTCCTAGGCTCTGAAGTTGAAATGTCAGAACCTCAGTCATCTCAAAGTCAGGTTTACCAGTTCCTAGGGCCATGCTTTCACTTAAATTGACTTACATCAGTTTTTGGTCATAATGTAAGTTATTCAACTATGTGAATTTACATTTAGGTAACAGTGCTGCAGAGAGTACTGCCGTTTCAACTCTGTATCTGTGTATACGATTTTGAAATAAAATGAGACATAAGTAAGCTTTGCTATTGTGCCAAGCTGTCTTTCATTGTTTTCCATTATTCTGAAATTAAACATTATAGGCTACTGATAAGACAGAATTTTTTTTCTTTTTTGGTTAAAACAAAAACTGCCTAACCAAAGCAGCCTATTCAAATCAACAGAGTCCAAATTGGATGAAATAAATTAATAAATAGGTAAACTATGAGCATTTTCTGTCCACAGAATTTTGGTAATTGAATTTATTTATTTAATATACATATGGGAAATTCAGATAAATATTTATCAATGCAAATGAATAACATCTATTTCTACTAAAATTATGTTCTTAGTTCTCTATCATGACTTCTTTGGAATAGAAGCACAAATGTAAAAAATGCATAAATTTGTTGTAAAATTTAAAAAAATCAGAGCATGGACTCCTTTAGCAATAGAAATAATGTTTAAAAAAAGGCAATGCTGAAAGCATATTTACTGCACAGAAAGTAAGATCATAAATTCTATAAATATGAAATAAATGAATCATTCCAAAATGATGGCAATAAGGAACAAAATTCTGCACAGCATTGTAATTAGCTGACCTAATACTTGTACAGGAAAAAAAATTTGTTCCCACTTTAGCCATAAGTATTTGCTGCCTTAGCAACTAAATCCATTCATTTAGTAATTCAAGGTTTAGTTCAACCTTTTGGAATGTATAATGTGTGATCTTGAAATAAAATATTAATGTTATTTCATTTTCAGAAAACCTGAAAAAAAAACGAAACAGCAAAAGCAATATTAAAAGTAGAGACTTAAGATTCCATCCAAGAGGGACTTAATAGATATTGGCTTAATCAATGTGGATAAAAAGATAATTAAACATTCATTTTAGGACACTATCCACATCTAATCAGCACTGTAAACTAAACTAAAACTAAAATTACCATTCTATTGTTAGTCTAAAGGAAAAGCCTAATACATTTTTAGTATTGTTTGTAAGTCTTTTAAGATATTGTGATGTCCTTTCAACTAGCAAAGAATATTTATTCTGCAATGAAAGAAATTTTAAACCAAACTGGACCTAAATTACTTTTAGGCATAAGGAATTAAAATAGTTGCAAGAAGCAAAAGCCTTACCAGTTTATCACTAATGTATTGAAAATAACTTAATAAACAGATTCTGGCTACATGATATAAAAGAACTGTGTAACTGAATTCCTTTTCATCTGAAATGAATTGAATCTGTCAATTGTTTTGACATGATGTAGACAAAATTGAAGATGGCCAACACACTAAGAAATGATGAAAATATTAAGTCATAATCTTGTGGGACTAGGAAAAAGACAGTTATCACAGACTCCCTTTATTCAACTTTGAACCACATATCATGAGATAATTTTGTGGAAAATTATTATGATCACATCCATTTAACTATCAGTTTTAGAAAAAACTTTGAGAACAGAAGAAAGAAATGAGAATATGTCCATTTCTGTAAGATGAGAAACTTGAACTGCAGATCTCTGAAGATCTCTTCCAACTCTAATGCGTCTATCCTCCTGTGTTTCTATTACATCAAAGTAATAAAGAATGCCAGGCAATTTGTAACAGCTTGTTTTAAAGATTACTTAGGGGTCAGAATTTATTATTTCAAAATTATGACTTCCTCAGTATTTTTCTCTAATTTACAGCACTAATCCTAGTCTTTTGGAATGTAATAAAGTATGCTTAATGTTCTTGAGCTGTATCTAAAGGATAAAGCCAAAGATTTTCTTTTGAAGTTCTTAAAGTGTTTTCCCATCATGCAGATTGCTTTCTATTTCTGTTCTGCAGTTTTTATTCCCCTTTCAGGAGAATCTGCTGTCGGGATGAAACCAAATTTTGCCAGTCAATGCACATCTAAAGAGCTTCCTTTCCTGGTTTATGTTGCCATAAAGAGGATTGGGTAGAATTGTCACCTACACCTTAACCACACCCCTATAATAGGCATGTAAGAAATAATTCTGAGGCATATTAATAGCAGGGAAACCAAGATGTCTGCCAAAGTTCTCACAGGAAGTTAGTGGTAAAAGAGGAAATAAAAGCCAGGCTTTCAGGGCACTAGCTAAGCATTCTGTGTGGTCTCCCACACTGCTTCTCTTTTGAACTTTCCAACTCAAAAGCAAAAATACCATAGCTCTAATACCACCAAGGACGTTGGTATGACACACCAACAAGCAATCAATTTCCTTGTTCCTTTTTCTGACACTATCTATCTAAACAACCATTGTCTTAGAAGACAAAACGAACTTTATGAGAATATAATGAAGTAAAACTCCTAAGAATCCCAAGTTTTGCTTCTGAGCCTAGATCGTCCTGAATGATACGTACCATGGCCATCGTCCAGGAATTCTGTGATGGTGGCCGAAGTGCATTTAGACCAGGGCTTGGATGCATCAATGCTGGTTAGGATGGAAGACATTAAGCGCTTATCTTCTGTGGAACCAAAATTTTCTTCGCAGAATTTGGAATCGTCATGGGAGAGGCCAAGAAGATGACCTAAGGCAGAGAAGGGAGGTAGGCAAATAATAGCTGATTTTGTATTTCTGTGTTTTCATGACAATTTTCATAGCACTTGATTTCTCCCCCCAGTTGTAGATGAATTCATTTTAGCTGCCTTCTTCTCACTCAGACAATGTCTGCACCCACAAGAAAATAAAAGCTGCTTGTGGTTAGTGGAGCAATTACATTTGGTGAACATTTAGATGAAAACTGAAAAATTAAACTAAGGAGTGGATGTTCCCATAATTCATCTGGACCACATATGCTCAGTGACATGCAGAAAGAAAATCTAGAATTTGTGAGGACACTGTGGGATTATGTCATAGCCCTCACCACATATTAATTTGATTGTCTAATATGCCTTCTCTGATCAACCTTAAGCCCCATGAGATCAAAACACACCTCCCCCCATTCACTGTTGAAACTTCTGTATTTAACTTAATGCCGTGCAAGTTGCAAACACTTAATAGACAGTTTTTGAATGTTGTTAACTTCCATTTACTTGGTCAGGTAATAGGTAGCTATAAAAGAGATGACTAGGGGAGGAAAAAAAGAGAAGTGAAATTTGTAACTTTCTGGCTTCATGCACATGTAATATTGCTTCACCCTTTTGTTTAACTGTTTAGGAGTTGTGAATGTCTACTATTCTCACAAACAAATAGCTGATTTTGAAAATACGCTTATCTACTTTTAAGAATTCCTAAAGTACGAAGTTGCCCATCATGGAGTGTTAGAGCTTGATGAGAGGACAAACACTGGAAAGGTAACTGATTGTTCAAAACCACTCAGCCAGGTGGTATTTGTGCTTAAGCCTCTTATCCACATTCTCTGCAATCCCCACGTATGCCGTTTCCATTCTATCAAACTAAATATTATTTCACAGAGTGCATAATCACATTCTTATAGTCTGAATTAATTGCTTTTTATTACATAAGATCATTTTCACAGTCTAAGGATAAAATGGTGCTCTACAATAAATCTAAAATGCTGTTAAAAAATCTGGGGCAGCAGTTTGTAGAAACTCTAAAAAAGTAGACATCAAATCATCCTAGTAGGATTTTTAGCAAAGCTTTCTGGAATCATACACAAACCACTTAAAAGAATGTAGAAAAAACTACAGCAAATTGATTACTGCATTTTCCTTGGGTTCCTGAATGCCAAATGCAGGAACTTTGGGCAATTTATCTAAAAAGTTCAGTGTGCACCAGTAAAATCCAACAGAGATGAAATCTTTCATGCCGCATTCCAACTACTTTTGGCCAACTTGTTAAATCAGCAACACCTAGTATCAAAATTGTTCACTGAGCAATGACTGCTGTTGTGGCTGAAATTAAGTGCCTAGGGCTCGGTGACCTTCCAAGTCTTCACATTTTATGTTATTTATTTCAATAGTATTTACTAGACTAGCAAGTTTTCTCTGGGAAACCCTCCCACTGCCACTCACATTTGATTTGGTCAGTAGCATGAACGTGACTCAGTCTATAAAGTATGTTCCCAAGTAACTTGCAAAGGAAGATTATCAGGATCTCATCCAATTTTTAAGTGGTATGTTGAGGTTTTCAGGGAACTCACAGCTCATAGAAAAACAGAATCTTTCATTCATGACCTATTAAAAACTGCTTAAAGTTACTTAGTACATCAAGCACTTGTTGAGAATGCAGTCTGTGCTTTCTGAACTTTTCCAAAGTGGAAGATTTATCAGCAAACACTGTGGGATTTGTGTGAAAATTTCACACTCGAGTTTTCCCTTGGCATAAAAGCGAGAGAGAAAAAGTGGCTCAAAGTGACCTTTGCAACACGAAATTTATTTGAATGCAGATTTTACCTTTTTAAAAAAGTGAATTTTGCATTCTATTTCATGAGATATTCATATTTATTTAATGGACCAGTAGTCTTTTCCTCTAAATCTGTATAAATAGCACTTTCCATATGCATTTGTATTCTTGCATCAAGGAATTTCCAGTTCATTTAGAGGGTAGATTTTAAAATTCTGATTTAAAATATAGGCCATATGGCAAATACTAAATTCCCTTTGAGGAGCTTAGGAGAGTATCTCAATATTTTTCTTTCATTCAGCGAGGTGAGGCATATAATTTTAAAGATTTTGATTACATAAGCAATGGCAGTTTACCTTTTAAATATTTGGGGATAATTTTATGAATCTTTTGGCATGATATTTCACCCAATATTGTAAATTTTATGCTCCCCAAATTTACTGATTTATCAGTATAACTTGCCACTGTAGATGTATATAAGAAATTCTATCAGAAAAGATTGCCATTCTGAGCATGAACAAATCTTAGTTCCACCTCAGAAAGAGTTAAAAGGAGATGTGAATTTTGTAAGATCTCCAAAAAGTCAGGCAGAAACTAACTGCCTGAGGTTCAATTGAAAGAGACCGACTCTTCTGAGGGCAAATGAACATTCTTTCCTCCATGGGGAAAGTCTGTCAGCTGGCTGAGAGAGGCATGGGCAATGTGAAGAACGTTTATTAAGCACCTAAACAGGAAGCTAGTTCCAGAGGAGCTGGAACCAGGTCACAGTGAGAAACCCATGTGACTTCCTTTCAGGGGCTGGACGAGAATTGAAAGGGAAGATCAATGTGAGAGACATTTGGATGCTCTTCAGGAAAGATGTGACACACATACTAAAGGTTCTGAACAGAAAAATGAGTGGCATTTTCAAATGTGAGCTCCCAATCAGTTATGCTCAGACATCTAACGTCAATCTGAAATTTGCTGATATCACTGAACTGTGGAATGGCAAGGTCCATACAAAAGCATAGGCTATTTTAAAGACATGCTCACATTAGAGACAACACACTATGATACTGAAAGCTTATTAAAAGAGAAAATCTGAAACCTAGAAATTTAAAACATGTCTCAGCTGATAACTGTGTGTTTCAGGTGAAGGCTGTGAAAAGGAATTGGAATTTATCTTGATTACCTAGGACAGTTTTTGGCTTTTCATACATATACTTTTTCAGAGAGTTTGTCCATGAATCATCCACAAAGATGTTTAAGATGAATGGCGGGGACTGGAGATTAAGAATTTCTGCAACAAGCGTCAGTAGCAGATGGGATTTAGATACATGTGTCCCAGAGAGTAAAATAGCTTGTGAAGAATATAAAGAAATGTTGGAGAAAATGTTTACAATGCCTAAAGCAATTCCTTGTTTACATCAAATTGTATTTTATGATGGGCTTTTAGAGCAATACAGAGCAAGAGAGTTAGTCGAAGAGTGAGGTCTTGGAGGAGGCAGAGGGATAGAGTCCAGAAACACACATAGAAAGCCAATTCTCACCCTTAGGAAGATGAAGAAATATTTCTTTCTTGGGAGTCACAGTGTAGAAAGAGAAGGGTAAGGAGAGTTCAAAGCAATTTTGAAGGGTAAAAGAAGAGATTTTAGGAAGTTTGAAATCCTGAGGCAATTAAGGACCAAACATACTTGCGTAGTGGATACCCTTGTCAATGACATCTGTATTTATATACCAAATGAGATAAAGAAAAAAAAGAAGGGGGAAAAACAGAAATCAGAGTGAAATTCAGAGAATAATGCAACTGTCTAATCCACAAGTATTTTTCTAAGGGATGCACACCTCAGAATTGTGTTTTGCTGTTTGAAATTGTTAGTAAAAATCACGGTGTAAATTTTAAGCGCTTGCAGAAAACAGTGATCTATTCTTAATAGATTTTTAAATCATGTTATAAGTAGCATAGTCCTGCTAATGAGTGTCCATCACACAAAGTAATATCAGGAAGGAGTTTAGCTGAATTGTGCTAAGGAAATGAATTTAATGGTAAATTCTCAAAACACAGTCTATAGGGTCAGGAATCTCAGTTACAGTGTTAGCTCAGAAATAGTAAATGATATTCACCTGATAATATTTCTTTTTTTAATAACTTTGATTTAAAAATTCAGCTTATAGTGTATCAGAATTTTTTTTCTTGTTAATTAATTACTTAATTTTTGATGGCTGGCTGTATGGGGATTGTTCTTTTTTCTTTTCATTTACTTATTTATTTATTTATTGAAACTTAATTGATTATACTTATTTGTGGCGTACAGAGTTGACTATCAATACTGTGCACAATATGTGATGGTTAAATCAGGATAATTAGCTTATTCATCATTATAATACTTAATATTCTTTGTGTCCATTAACCAATTTCTTGGAGACCTCTTTCCCCGCTCCCTCTGTTTCCCACTTCTAGTAACCCCAGTCCTGTTCTCTCATTCTGAAAGTGCAATGCATTATTGTGATTGTTGTTTCCTTTTTTTCTTTCTCTTTTTCTTTCTTTCTTCCTTCCTTTTTTTCTTTCTTTTGTTTTTTATTTATTCTATTTTTAGCTACCACTTAGTAGTGAGGACATTCTCACTGATAATTTTTCTAGTACCCTAACCCTCTTTTTTTAAATTGGCAAAAGGGTGACATTTCATTAAATAAATTTCATCTTTGAAATTAGTACCGATTTAAAGAGCATCTTGCCTCCTTAAGTTCACAAGTGAATCTAGTATAAGAACATCTGTTATAACGTACAGCCGGTTAAAGACATGACTTTAGAAGAAACTGTTGGTTCAGCTTCTTATTCAACTCAGGTATTATTATATAACTAAGGCTGACTTATAACACTAACCTCAGGAAGGAAATTGGTTGTTTTTCTAAACTTTGGTCTGCAAATTGAATGAATTTCAAGCTCTTGTCTCCTGATCTTAAACTGACCAATGGTCAAGGGGACACAGTACCACATCCTAATGAAAGGTCACAAGGGGCTCTGTAATGTGTTTACCTGGGAAAGCACTGCTCGGATGCAGCCTCTGTTTCTTAATGAGGTCATGTTTTTATTTTACCTAATTTTCCACCTGGGATCATGGAGGTGCAAGAAGTTCTTGCCAAGGGTTGAAGAATGAGTCGACAGCTCACATGAGATCAGAATCTAGGATCACTGAAGAAGGGAACCATTAGCTCCAAAGATTGGATCACACATGTCTATTC